GAATAAAAGCTGAAGAAAGCAAAAGCAAATAAAAACTGAGAAAATAAAAGCAAAAAACAAAGAAAAAGATAAAAGTAGAAAATTGCCTCAAAAAAGCCCTCCTGCTGTAGTGAGTTTCCCTGTTTACGAAGCTGTTGTTCAGGTGAGCCTGAGCTGTCGGTTTTACGTACACAGTTTTACCTTATTCTATCCCAGTTTTGCCTAAGTATCAGCTTCACTGACCGGGAAGTCTCCTGTTGATGGCCGATTTTTCTTTGCTTTTTTTTTTTTTGTGGTTGCTTTGTTTGAATTTTTTTTTTTTTGATTAACATGAGCTGGTCATTACCCTACTGATTATCCTTTTATTTTAATTTTTAGTATTTTTCATTCTTCGTTTTCTGTACTTTTACTTTTTTTTGCTTTTACCTATGAATTCACTTTTTTTTTTGATTTTGCTTTACTCTTGCACCTAGGCTTGCTTTAATTTTTTTTTGTGGTATGTTCATCCCCTTCTTTACTCTATTTCCGGATCCTGCCTGCAAAGCAACATCTAAGTTCCTCTCCATTCCCATTTTAAGAGCACTCTGGAAGCAAGCAATATTTCAGCCTTTTCCCTACCCCGAGTATTCACAGCAAAAACCAGGAGTACACTTCCCCTTCTTTTTCACCCATCACCCCTTCTCCTTTCCCCTACGTGGCTAGGCAACCGCCAAAGAAGCATGTGAAAGAATGGAAGAAAAGTTTCTTTTATACAAACGCAATTCACGAACAATACGTATACAACCAATATAAACGCAGTACGCGAAATTAAGAGCGCTACATCATAGAGTATTACTGGTATGCAAGCGTCAATCCATGACACTTGCCATTTGTAGCAACGCAACTGCATTCTCACTCCTGCATCTAATTCTGCATATTACAGACGCAACCCGATTACCTCAAACTGGCCACGACACATGAAAAGGCACCTAATTTTCAAAGTAAGAAAAAAAGAACGCCAATACATGCTAAATTACACAACACGATCGCTATTTCTCTTCATTTTCTTCAGCAGCTTTCCGAAGTTTCACTTCACGATGCGAACCATCACAGAAAGGTCGCGTTTTGGTCTGTTTGCAGTTGCAAAACCACACCTACAAAAAAAAAAATCCATGAGTTTTCGATACCTATTACTTGAGCTAATTGAGGACATGCAGCCCAGAATTGAACTACTTGGCATAATTGGGCCCGGTATGCCGAAACATTCCAGTAACATCACTAGCATGGGATACCCTCCACACCGATATGTTCGGGAACTGGATGAACTCCCGAAATCTTCTCACCACTGAGATTAAGACAATATTTTAAAGATTAAATAAAACAGGATAATATTTGCATCCGGCGAAATCACAATCAACAAAAACTGCAGCATCGATGGCAAAAAAAAAAAAACAATGGATGATAAAATAACAAGTGTACCTAGGATAATTGGGTCCACAGCTCATCGACAATCTGGATATCCGTCTATGCAACTAGAAACTTCTCCGAAAACAGGGGATAAAAAGTGTCAAAGAAGATCAGCAGCTGAAAGCTATCCTAGAATTGCACAGGGGAATATGAGACCGAACATACATTTGCAAAGCATTCCCATTTTACCCCGAATTTTCCCTCACACATCATTCCTCTAAAATATTTGCGAAAGCACCCCTCCCCTTCCTTGAATGTATAAGCTTTTTCATAGTCACATCACCCGTCCCCTCTCCTCCGTTTGCCTGCGTTAACCCGGAATGCAGGGCAGCCTCTCATTTTTATGAAAAAGCCCATACTCTACAGAACCAGAAAGGCTTTTCTCAAAAATCAAAGGCAAACCTCCATGTCTCTATCCGGAATGAACCGTACAGGCCTGAGTTTTGTTGGTATGTAAAATCGAAGATGACT